ACACTTTCCCTCCAGGCTCTTGTTCTTTGCTCCTTCCCAGAGGCCGCCACTCCACACCTTCTCTTCCACCTCAGGGCCTTTGCACAGGCATTCTCTCAACCTGGAGGCATCTTTCTGCTTCTTGGCCTGATCAATGCCACTCCTGTTTGATATTTTAGGTCAGATGTCATTTCTTTAAGCAAGTGTTCTCTTAGCTATAGGTTCAACTGGGTTTCCCTGCTGAACACTCTGTAACGCCCTGCACTTCTCCTTCACAGCACTCTTCAAAGATTCTCCAGTGATCAAATGATCTTCTCCAAACTTCAAATGATATAAATAAAAAGCAGTTTCATTTTTCTCCCATCAGTTGTCCTAGTCAAACTCTGTTAGATCTCTCTGCCCTGCCCTGCCCTGCCCTGCCCTTCCGAGACATCTCAGGCAAATTCTTTAGTTTTCTGGTAACTCTCAGTTACAAGGACAATTTTCAGATATTAAAAAGACAAATCTAAATCAAAACTCCTATTGCACATCTAATACAAAAGCCGCCCCCCTCTGTGGCTGCAGCCTGGATGTGCGCTTCTCTTTCACTCCCCCCTCGCCTCCTGCCCTCCTCCCACTCCTACCTTTGGCAACTCAGATCAGAGCGCAGGAGAATTAGAAAAAAGTGATCAGATTCCTCACTAAATGCCACCTGCATGGTCCTCCCCTGGCTGCCCAGGTACTGAACTGCTGGCTCTCTCAGGATGTGCCTCTTCACAGGGCACCAGAGGCTTCCTAGGTGGCCCCCACGTGGCACACTTCCCTGATGTGAGTGGCAGACTGTTTGATTGATAGCCTGGTTGGCCCCACAAGCAACTTCTGTGCTCAGTGACGTACTCAGTGGCCTCCTCTCCCAGGGAGGACTTCTTGTTGGCTCAAGGGGCTCCATCTGGATGGACCATTCCCAGCCTCCTTCCTCAGAACCATCTGCCTCCTGGGAAACTTGGCTCTCCGACAGCTACCCCTGCCCTGCTCTCTCCTCCAGTCGCCTCTGCCTTCACAACGCTTGAGTTGGCAAGACCACAGAAGAGGTTGGGGGTAGGTTCAAGCACCCCAGCACTTCTCCATCACATTGCGCTGGATCCTGCGACAGCCAGAGGCTCTCAAGGCCCTCAGCTTCACAGTGCAGCTAGTCCCATACTACAAGGCAAGGTAGATAAACAGTTCTCTTCTTGCAGGCACCCCCAATCTTTTCAGTGACTTCCCTTGCAGTCCCTGTCACTTGGGAAGTAAAGGAGAAACACTTCAACACTCCTTCATCAGCCAACAACTCTCTGCTAATCCTTTTTTGAATTTCTAGTTGGTTTTTTTTTTTTAATGTGGTTTAAAAATGGGTGGTGGTCGCCAGGTGCAGTGGCACATGCCTGTAATCCCAGCAGCTCAGGAGGCTGAGGCAGGATGATCGTGAGCTCAAAGCCAGGCTCAGCAACTTAGCAAGACCCTAAGCAACTCAGTGAGATCCTGTCAATAATAAAAAATAAAAAGGGGCTGGGGATGTGGATCAGTGATCAAGCACCCCTAGGTTCAATCCCTGGTACAAAAAAAAAGTGGATAATGTTCAATGTCAAATGCAGTTGATTTTTCACTAGTTCTAAGCAGATGGGTGGCACTGATTGCTCATTTTTCTCTGCTTTGGTTCCTCAATTGAAATTCCAAGATGATGAGAATTCCCAGTTAATATCCTGTCAAACATGGCTGTCTTACCCTTACTTTTTATTTCTACAAGGGCTCTCTCTTTGCTCTAAGACCAAGCATTCAACCTCTGGCATTTAGCAGCAACCCAATCAATGTATGACAAATCAATGAATAAAATAACAGAATGACAGACAAAGAAGACTAGATTCATATCCATGAAACTCCTTGGTTGGGAAAGACTAATAAGCAGGACACCATTAAAACCAGAGTAGGGGGCTGGGGATGTGGCTCAAGCGGTAACGCGCTCGCCTGGCATTCGCGAGCCGCTGGGTTCAATCCTCAGCATCACATACAAATAAAATAAAGATGTTGTGTCCACCAAAAACTGAAAAATAAATATTAAAACATTCTCTCTCTCTCTCTCTCTCTCTCTCTCTCTCTCTCTCTCTCTCTCTCTCTCGCTCTCGCTCTTAAAAAAAAAAAAACAGAGTAGATGGGACACAGATTCCCCCAAAGCCTGGATGCCCATCAGAATCACCCACTGGGCTTTTAAGAGATGTAAATGCCTAGACTTACTCCGCTGGTGTGGAAATTCAGTAGATCTAGTTAAGAACCAGTGAGCCAGAGTGCATAGGAGAGGTCAAGATAACACTGAGGAGGACTTAAGGGAAGCCTCGTACCTGCTCAAGAGTAGCAAGGACACTTCCTGGAGGAAATGATACAAAAGGAAGATAAATATAAACAGATGGAGAAAGGGGTGTGGGGTGCACATGCTCAGCAAGGACTTGAAGCCCAGGAGAAGATACAGGCGAGGCTCTGAGACTAGAAAGAAGAGCTTCAATTCCTAAGAGAACCCAATGAACCTCCTGAGGGGGAGAGAGTGGCAGCCCAACTGGTGGCAGGCTGTCTCCATGCAGGAAGTTGCTGTTGGAAAGTCACCAACACCCTAGGGAGGAGATAAATATAGAACCCGCTTGGACGCCTGAAGTACTCATCCGTGAAAGGAGGGTAGAAAATCACACACCTCCACAGGTCGTGGTGAGGATTAAAGAAAGTAATGGTTGTGACATCTTGGCACATTGTATGCGCTTATTATAGATCAGCTAGAATCATCTTTATAAAATAATATCGTGCTTTTCAAAGTGGCGTGTGTGTGTGTGTGTGTGTGTGAGAGAGAGAGAGAGAGAGAGAGAGATCAGTAATTTACTGGCCCAACTAAGACCAGTTAGCAAGGGCCAGTTCTGCACATAGCTTCCCATCTTTGCATTCATTAGATGTCAGGCTGGTAACTTGAGGCTGGAAACTTGAAAGTGACCATAGTGTAGTATTTATACCAAAGACATTGCAAAATCTCCCCCCTCTTCTCTCTCCTCTCTCTCTCTCTCTCTCTTTCTCTCTTGCTGGTTTCACTGAACACTTGTTAGATGCTCTGGGAATGTTGACTGCATCAAAATGACTTAAACTAGATTCAGTTGAAAAGTCAGTAAAGTTATAGGAAAACTGTAATCTAAGAATCTAAGTAGGGTCCACCAAACTTAGATCACAAACTCAAAAGGAAAACCTTCTCAAGAAAGAGAAAATGAGACCTTGACTTCGGGGCCAGTGGCAGGTGAGAACAGAGTCTGACCCCAAGCCCATGTTTCTGGACATGCTGCCCTATCCACGCTTCTCACCTCCACTTCTAGAGTGAGTGTGAGAATAACCGAGTGACGTGAACACTGACAAGTTCAACCCACAGCCGAATGCTCTGAATGAACCAGTCCAGAGGTTCATTCTCTCTGGAAAGAAAAGTCCATTTGGGAAGACATACATTATATTAGGTTAGCTAAGCTGAAAAATAATTTTCATCTCAAGGAAAATATCAAGTACTGCAGAACAAAATACTGCGATACTTTAACAACACAAGAAATCTTATCACCAGAAGTGTGTTGACATGTATGTAGAATAGTGAGTAAGGATGCTGGGAAGGGTGGGGCAGGGGAAGGTGAAAAAGGAAAATCGGATTTGGTCAGCGTATGTGGTATCAAGAGTCACAACAAACCCCGCTGTTATGCACAATTCATACATGTTAACAAAAATAACTTTAAAATGTGGTAAGCAACATGAGGGGGAAATTGTGGATGTTGTGAATAACACATAAAAGCAAATGCGAACCCATCAATTGCATCAACACTTAGCCAAGCAAAGGTAGCAAGATTGGGCACATCTGCCTTCTGTTGGTCAATAATCATCTGGGGTCCTGGACAGATATTGTGCTATCCTAGAGATAAAATGAGGAAAGCCCATTAAAGTCATCAATTATGAACAAACAAATAAATAAGCTGGGCCATCTGAGATCAAGCTTGTCTGTAGCTGACATTTGTCACCAGAACTTTTGTTAGAGAAATTTAAGCACTATTAGGAGGCTCAGAATAAGTAAGGGTCACCATTTTATTTTGAGGATGAGACTAACCAACCAGGGACTCTGCAAGATGAAGATTCTAATTTAGAAAAAAATGCATATATGACTGGCTCTTATGCTCAAGATACTGTCTTACCTGCCATGATGGCATTCAGATTCTGAGAGCCAATAAATTCAAAAAGACCATTTCCTCTAGATTGGAGGGTGAATACCTAGGGCAGGATAAAGCTGATCGGAACAGAGAGCCCATTAAAATTCTTGTTCAAATTTGTGATCAGTGTTCACTTCCCTTACTCTGAACATTTCTTTCCTTTGGAGATCTCAATGCTGGAGAAGAATGAGTGAGAAAGCAAGATAAAAATGAGGCTTTTTTCAGCCACTTAATTTCCTTAAATGACATCATGAATTATAAATTGCCGTTGCCAAGGCAATATAAGAAATACATATCAGAAGGAAACAAAGAAATTGATTGCACCAAAGATGACTAGTCTTAGGCTTTGGAGAATCATTTTGCCTTTTGAGTTGTTATGATCAATTCTCGGTAGGAACAAAGACATATTAGTCATCTAAAAATACTCAATCATTGTCTCCATTCAGCAAAGAACAAAGAAAACATCATGCCGCGCTCAACCCTCTTTCTTTCTGCAGCACATAGAATTGAAGGGCCATTTTCCTGCCACATTTATCAAGATTAGGGACAGTGCTCCCTGTTATTCCATGAAACCCCATCCTATGTCCGGAATCTAAAGATTCCCCCTCGAACACTCTCGAATAGGAAATGACTTCTTTTTCTCTAAGTTAAAAAAATAATTTCCAGGCGGTGAGTAATTTTTTTTCCTGAACCATCCACTCAACGGAAAACAAATGAAAAGGGAAAAATGAAGTAAACAGATCTGAAAAAGAGGCCACTACACCCAGAGATGGAGAAGGAAGCCTGCAAACTTACCAGTCATGGGGAGCAGGAACTCAGGGTTTGTCCCAAATAAAACCATAATTTTAACTGGTCCTTCAGTTGAGCCTGGCTGGATGAATGACTTCCAGGGCCTTTGGCTCTTTGGGACTAAGCGGGAAGGTTATTTTTAGCACAACTATTTGGAAATCTTTGAGAACTTGGACCTGTTATTCTGTCTGGTACCAAAGCAAGCTTTTCACCGAGCTCCCATGAAAGATCCTCGGTCTCAGTGTTCTGAGCACCCTGCAGCCGCTCACCAGCCAAGAGCACGGTATGGTGTTTATTCTTTTATAGGATTTTGGTGAATGTGGGTACAATGGCCTTTTTCATAGTGATAGCTTTTTAGTTCATTAAACAGGTGGTTTTGTAAGGAGAATCCAGGAAGCTGAAGTTCTGGGTCCAGATCTCTGGTCAGCGGCTCGCTTCATGACCACAGACGGTGGTCTCTAGACCTTGGTTGCCTGTCCAACCTGCCCCCGAATGTCTCTGGGAGGATGGGATGATCTTAGCCTTGCTCTGCAGACCATCAACTGTTTGCAGGTGTCAGAGTGTTTTACTGCTGTGCCGTCAGAGCACTTATCAGGAGATAGCCAAAACTTGATAAATCATGAACTGTTGATGAGAAAGGCTGACGGATGTGTATGTTCTTCATCCAGCCCTGTGGAGCCTCTCCTGTGGGCCTTGCTCAGTCTTATCTGTCAGTGATACGGAGCTTACATTTTGCTGGGAAAATGAGCAGGAAATGGTCATAACGCAAAGGCAATTGTGTGGCCCTGGGGGACCCGAGTAGTGCCAGGAGGAGGAGGGAGCTCATTCAAACTGGAAAGGCAGTTCTGCGAGGAAACTTGCAGCCCCAAAGAAGCTGAGGGGTCGCTATACAGAAGGAAAGGAGGCATAAACAGCCGAGGTTCCCAGCATCGTCCCCAGCTCGTGCTCCTGTCAGGCAGGCAGAGAAGGCCAGGCCTGATCTCGTGAAATCTCTGGGTCAGAGGCCAAGGAGACATCCTGTTTCGGCCCTCCTCGGTGGCCTACCTCTTCCTCTGACTTCCACACAAAGCACATTTCAGCTTGAATTCATAATCAAGTCCGGACCTTTGTCTTGCAGTAATCTGTTATAGTCTCCTTCACATGATGTAGAAGAAAGTTCATGTTTGGAGACAAAAGAACTGAGTTCAAATCCTGGCTGTGCCATTTTATGACCTTAGATAGGACCACAGAGCATTGTAAATGTTTGTCTCTGTGAATGTGGCTGGCCTGGGATCATCATGTGAGAAGAATCCTGTGGTGTTGGTCATTTCGCATAGCTTATTTCACATAGCTCGATGTCTCCAGGTCCATCCATGTTGTTGCATGTATTGAAATTCCCTTCCTTTATAAGGCTGAATAATATTCCATTCTGTGAATACATCATGCAGTGTCAATCAGTGGACACTGGTTTGCTCCTACCTTTGGGCTATTGTGAAGAGTGCTGTCGTGGATGTAGGTGTGCAAATATCTGTTTGAGTCCTTGCTTTTACTTCTTTTGGATATATGTACACATACATATCCAGAAGAGAAATTCTGGACATTTGGTAATCCTATACTTAATTTTGTTGGGGATTCACTGCACTGTTTTTCACCAAAGTAGCACCATTTTACATTCCCATAAACAGCATCTTTTATTTTTAGAAGAAAGAAGTCATGGGCTATTTATAAAGGGATTCCAATCTCTGAACACACTTTCTGGGAGTTCAATTTTTGCATTGATTTAATCAGTATTTTTTTCTTCAAGAGTTTTTCATGGCTAGTTTAGCAGAACAAAAGATTCTATTACTTACAAAAGTTTACAAAACATGATATGCTATATCCCTGTCTTAAAAATTCAGAACACCCATTAACATGAAAGCTCTGGTATGTATACATGTATGTGTGTTTCAAATATGTGTTTTAAAGTTTTAAAAACTTGTTACTTTATTATCCCTGCAGAAAAATCGGACAGAGAGTCATTTACAATTAGCTTCCAGGACAGATCTGTTCTAGATTAGCATTATTTCCAGAACTTCGATTTTCTAACTCCAAAGGAGCATGAAAGTGGAAATATTGTACTTTAACTATGTAGCACCTATTCTGCATAAATTTGCATAATTCAATTGAATGCTTTAAAGCTTACTGTATGAGAAGTGATTGCTCATGGGTATAGCTTTCTTCTACGGATTTTGAAAATATTCTAAAGTTGGATTATGGTGTGCATTGATCGTATATGTCAGTTAATTTTACGTTGTGCAAATTATCTCTCTGTAAAGCTGTTAAAATTATTATAATGCTTATAAAGCTGTGACACACATGGTTCCTTTCCAGCCAAAATAATCAAGTTGACTGCAGAGCAGTGGACGTTCCATGAAGGATGGATTGTTCCAGACAAGGTGTTGGAAACATAAACCTGGATCCCTACCTCTGAGTTTTTAATCAAAAAATTCTAACAAATAAAATTTTTGAAGGTGACAAAATGAAACAAGAAGGCTGGGGTTGTGGCTCAGTGAAAGAGTGCTCACCTAGCACGTGTGAGGCACTAGGTCTAATTCTCAGCACCACATACAAATAAATAGAATAAAGGTCCACAAACAACTAAAAAAAAATTGTTTTAAATGAGACAAGCATTGAAAGAAAAGCATATTTTGCTTGTTTTCTGCAGTACTGGGGACTGAACCCGGGGCTTCATACATGCTAGGCAAGTGCTCTACAATAGGAGTTGTACCCCCAGCCCTAGAGAAAGAGAAAGCCTCTTTTAGTACCTTAGAGTGGGGGAAGCTTTCTAAACACAATAAATTTGACTTCAAAAAATGTTTTTACAATAAAAATGGTTTTTTTAATTACATGAAAAAAGTGAAAAGCAAACTGGGAAAAAATTTTTGCTGTGTGTCACGAACCATGTACAGATAGATAAATATAAATATTTAGTGCACTGTTGTTTAGAATAAAAGAAGAATGCAAATAGTCTACCTGTCCATCAACTACTTAAATATAACATATGATGGATATTCTATGGACACCTAAATAACAGGGACTAAGGTAGCTCTGTCAACCCCAGTACAGATACACACAGTCGGCCTTGCACATCCACAATTTCCACATCTTTGGATTCAATTAATCACAGATCAGAAATATTTTAGAAAACTGTGTACTGAACCCATACAGACTTTTTTATTATTATTCTCTAGGCAATACAGTAACAACTACTTACATAATATTTACATTGTGTTAAGTATTATAGGTAATCCAGAGACCACTTAAGTACACAGGAGGATGTGCATAGGTCAAAGGCAAATATGCCAACATTTTATATCAGAGACTTGAACATCTTGTACTGTGGTATACATGGGGGCTGGACAGTCATGGACTCAATCCCCCATGGACACCAAGGGATGATTCTGCATACCTATAAAGAAGCTCAGCAAAAAGGCCAAGTGCAGAACATGGTACAGAGGATACCAACACGGGGAAGGAGAAGACACAAGAAACTGACAACAGTCACCACCTTCAGGGAAGAAACTGTTGAGAAGACAGAAAAATAAGAAGAGATTTACTTGTCATTTCATACCCTTTTTCTTTTGAATTTTAGAGAGCCTATATTATAAATACAAAAAAAGAGCTTTTTGTATATTTTTAAACACCATAGACTTAAAGGCAAAACAACTCAAGTCCTTTATTCCTCAAATACTGTGAAAGGGACACATAGACCCCAGAAAGCCTTCTTGAAATCTTCTTTTCTCTCTTTCTCTTATAATATTTCATACTCCGTAATTCCTCGCTACTTTTTATTCAACAAAACTCACACCAACCCCACAAAAAGTCTTCACTTCCTCCGGCTGGGGTTTATTGTACTAAGCACTGTTCTAGGCAGGTAGACATATTAATGACTAAGACAGAGAGCTCTGCCCTCGGGGAGCTTCCATTCCCTCAGACAGAATGTGCAGTGTAAAATAAAGACAGGAGTCCTCGATGGTGAGCACAATGGAGACAGAAAAATAGAGCAGAAAGAGGGAGGCTGGGGTGGGGGGCAGATTGCATCATGAATAAGGTGCAAACCATTGGGCTCCATGAAAAGGTGGCATTTGAGCAAGACTTGCAGAAGGAGGGGAGGGAGGGAGCCGTGTATGGACATCTTGTTGAAGAGGGCTTTAGACAGAGGGAAGAAACATGTGAAGGCCTGAGGCAGAGGCACCCGTGTCCTTGGGAACCCCAGGTTATCCACTGTGACTGGAACTGGAGAGTGAGCAGAGTAGAAATCAGGGGAGTTAGGGGGCCTCACCCACCGTGGTACAGGGACACGAAGCTGTTGGCTCCTAAGTGAAGTGGACAGCCATCGCGGGAGAGGCCACTGTGGCTTTCCATCATGACCCGCACCCCTTTTCCTTCTGTGTGAACGGAGTCCCAAGAATGGACTGACACTCATCATCAGGCCATCGTTACCCGTCAGGCCCCACGACACATTGTGCTTCTGCATCAGATAAGGATCCTTAGTGGATGATCATCAGGAGAGCCTTTCAGAACGTCCTAATGGGGACGTGCCTTTAGACTGGTGCCGACAGTTTACCAGGGCATTTCTCAAAGAAAAGCAACCCATTGGTGCAAGGTTCATTTCAGTTGCTCTTATTTATCCCTCTTTGAGCACCTGTTGCCTGGCTATTGGTGATGTTCAATATTCTTTCCTGCAAGCACATCTTTTAGGTTTCTGCTTCCTCTGTCCATCATCAACTAGATGTTACTGAGATTTTCTTCCAGATACCCCGCCCCCGCACTCCACAACTGTTGGCCTTGTTGTATTCTCTATCACTGCCCAGGGCACCTTCCTCCAGATCATTCCCAGTCTTTCTTCAAACCACTTTCTGGCCTATAGCCTATACCTTCTGTTCCAGGTGACCTCAGATGTTCTCCACCTTCACATTCCTTCTCAGAGCCTCCCCATTATCAGTTGTTTACAAGAGAGAGGAACAGGCAACTTAGTCGATGCATCTGGTTTTGACTGCAGCAAGGATTGTGTCTAGAACGTTCTCACAATTTTCCTTCATCTGCAGCTTGCTTGGAAGTGCTGGTGTCTTTATCAGAACCCTGGGGCTGTCAGAAACAACCTTAAAACCATTTGAGCCATAGGATAGTGCTTGCCATGATGTGGATATGGTTTAGGTGTATGCCTCCAGGGTCCGTGTGTTGGAAGCTATGTCCTGAATGGTGGTGGGACTTTTAAGGGGAGGGGCTCAGTGCACAGTCACAAGACAGGCCACTCCCCGTTACTCTGGCTTCCTGTCTTGCCAACTGATCTCTCCCTTTCACTTGCATTCCCACCACGATACCATCTTTTCTTGAAGTGATGCAGCTGAGAGGGTCCTCGCCAGAACCGGCACTATGCATTTTGGACATCCAGCCTCCATAACTATGGGTTAAATAAACCTCTTTTCTTTGTAAGTACCCAATCTTGGGTATTTCATTATAGTAGCAAAAAATCAGATTAAGACAGTGTGGTATGTCAAGCCTAGCAGACAGAACATGGCAAAGACATTCTCTCTAATTTGGGAGGGAAGAAAGAAGGCTGATAACACTGAGATTTGGTCAAGAATATGGAGTCTCTATTTGGATAAGTGACTTCGGCTTTTCAGTAATAAGATTTCTAGGAATAAGTCTTAATTAAAAATCTCAGGAGCATACTGTGTTTTCCTCAGTTTGTCATTCCTATGCTCTGGCAAATTTCTGAGTCTAGCCTTTGGATATTGCAATTACCCCCAAGTACCAAAAAAGTGGTATTGTGTATATGGTTAAATTCTCTGAGGTGGTTGTCTAAAAATAACAAGCTGGGCACGGTGGCACACACCTGTAATTCCAGCAGCTTGGGAGACTGAGGCAGGAGGATCACAAATTCAAAGCCAGCCTCAGCAACTTTGCAAGGCCCTAAGCAACTTAGGGAGACCCTGTCTCAAAAAATAAAAAGGGCTAAGGATATGGCTCAGTGGTTAAGCATCCCTGGGTTCAACATCTGGTACAAAAAAAGAAAAAAGAAACTATGTAATTGCTTATCCCAGGTTTCATGATTATTTCCTTTGGGAGAGTATAGTCCAGATCAAGCACTGTACAGATTTCCTGCTAAAACCCAAGTCCAGAGAGACCATCAGAGAACAGGAAGGGGATCAAGAGGAGGGTGAAGGGAAAATAGAAAAACCCCCATCAGTGGGGGGATGGATAGGATCATAGTACATGTTATCTGCCTGTACAAGTATGCCACTAGGAAACCCATTCTTTTGTATAATCAGAAGTACAAAAAAAATCATGTTCAACCATCCACATACTCCCCATTTACACAAAACCAGAACCACCTCTAAAGAAACTGCTTATCCTGAGGATCATTTGGCCTAAAACTTCAGGTCTCCACAGCCTGCACCGCCCCTCCCCAACCCTCAGCCTGTGTGCCAGGGTCCATACTAATAAGTGCTCCATTCTCAGGCCTTGTGGAGGGAAACCCACGTCCTACCAGACTAGAGCCAAAGAGACCTGCGCCCGCTTCACGCAGAGCATGTGGCGCATGCGTGGTCTAATTTCACATAGCTCTTTAATTGACCCCCAGTGCTAACGGCTTAATAGGACACCAAGACATTATATCCTGCAGATTCTAAGTTACAGTTTGAGACTCCCCTCAGGACATGCACAGTACTCCAATTAACACTAATTGGCATTAGGCATGATTATCAAGTAAAAAACATGGTTTTCCTGCAAATGCCTCTTCCTTACTCCTGCTTTAACTTTTACAAAAAAATTATCATGGATATATGCAAAGATTAGTTAGAACATGTCTGATGTTCTGTTTACATTAGCAGAACACTGGAAACAAATGTCTATAATGGGGAATTGCATACGTGTGTGTGTGTGTGTGTATATATATACACACACACATACATGTATACATGCCTATGTGTATATATGTGGGGGTATATATGTACATCTGTACATATATATAAAGTAGTAGAGACAAAAGCAATATTTTTAATGTTATGAGTAACTTTTCATGGGGGGCTGGGGAAGTACCAAGAATTGAACTCAGGGGCACTCGACCACTGAGCCATGTCCCCAGACCTATTCTGTATTTTATTTAGAGACAGGGTCTCACTGAGTTGCTTAGTGCCTCACTTTTGCTGAGGCTGGCTTTGAACTTGTGATCCGCCTGCCTCTGCCTCCCAAGCCTTGGGATTGCAGGCATGTGCCACTGCACCTGGCTAATGCTGTGAATAACTTTTGACGTAAGAAGATGTTCATATGTAAAGTAAAGAAAGTTGAAGAATTATAGGAATGATACCCTATTGCTTTTCTCCATGGCACAGACAAAAAATACTGGAAGCATGTATATATTGGAGAGTAAAGGGTAATTATCTCTGAGTGATGAGGATAGTGCCGATATTTATCTTATTCATTTGCATCTCTAATTTTCCATTTTTTAAAAATGCTTTTCTTTTGCAAAATGAAAGCATCATTTTTCAAAGTCTATCACTGACTCTGTAGAATAAATGCAATGCAGTGATGTCTTTTGGGAAAACCTTTTAATCCAGCCTTTGTCTACACCAACCCCTGTGTGGGACACTGAGACTCCACATCATCTAATGTCATTTTCAATGGAACTATGAGGGAACACACGTGTGAAAAGTTGATAGCTGTCAGTGCCAGTTCCCCTGCTCCAGCACAGTCAGCCACGCCAAACCCCCTCCTGGAAGGGGTCACTGATGTGTGTTTTTCTCTTCCAGAGCCAAAGATGTTTGTCTTGCTCTATGTCACAAGTTTTGCCATCTGTGCAAGTGGACAACCTCGGGGCAATCAGGTCAAAGGAGACAGCTACTCCCCAAGATACATCTGCAGCATCCCTGGCTTACCTGGGCCACCAGGCCCCCCTGGAGCCAACGGATCCCCGGGGCCCCACGGTCGCATCGGCCTTCCAGGAAGAGATGGTAGAGACGGCCGGAAAGGAGAGAAAGGTGAAAAGGGCACAGCAGGTAACGGACGGTGAAGCTATGTCACACACTCCACTCCCCTCACCCACTTTACCCCCCACACACACATCTTCTCTGTTGCTTCGTCTCATGGGAATTGCTCCTAAAGTCCCCTCTCTACTTCAATTTCATTAGTCCTAACAATGCACTGAGCTCTTATCCTGCTTCAGGTGCTGCCCTCAACTCTTCACCTGCATCCTTGCTTTGTGGTAATGACGACTGTTTCAGGTAGACATTATCACATCGTGCATGTGAGGAAACTGAGCCACACCAAGGCTGAGTGGAACAGGGGAGATGGACAGGCACTGCTCGTGGGATGGACTCAGACACCCGATACCTGGACCCACCTGGCTATTCCAGCTCCAGATGATGTCTGGATGCACAGGTCATGGATGGATAGACAGACAGATGGACAGGAGGGGAGATGCACAAACTAAGCAGAGGCAGAAATCAGAGCCAGACACACAGGTGCCATCTTGCTGAGCACTGATGGAGATACCAAAAGGGCTTCTGGATTTTATTTCTCACAGATAAAAAGGCAGTAGCCTTTCATAGCTCATCGCTTTCCCACCTGTCCTGTAGCAGTTAAAGCATAGATTTCTTGTAGCACTTTGCAGCAACACAATTGTCCCCTAGTCCTTCGGTAATTTTCACTTTTTCCCCCCATCAAATAAGTTGGTCCGGGAAACTTGCCAGACTCTTCAGTCCTTCCAAGTCAACCAAATTGAAATTCTGCAGAGACTCTGTTAACTCCAAAGGATTCAGAATCAATCTTTGAAAACAAGTTTCTGAGTGTAGAAGTCAGGACCAAAAAGAGGAAGGAAAAAGTCAATGGATTTAAGATATATGCCTCTATCTAGTCACCGCATCTGATTTACTGGAGTTCTATGAAATAGAACCATAATGTATATTCCAGTTATTGGCTAATAATTCATTTCTGAATTTCCCATGCAAAAAAAAATACTTGGCAAATCAATACTGTCAAACCTATGAGAGTGGTTCAGTATTAGACAAAAAACTTTAGTAAAGGTTCAACATCAAATAAAGAACTTTGAATGTCAAGGCTCAAGTAGAATTTTTCAAAGTCTTCCATAGGAAATGCATGAATCTAAGTTATCACTGAGCCGAGATTATGAGTGTCCTTGAAATCCTGCAGTGACAACAGGATTGCAGTTTCGTGTTAGTAACCCTTTTGGTGTACTCTGTCTCTGACTAACCATGTAGCAGCTAAACCATTAAGCCCTGGAGCCAGAAGGACTTAGACTCAAATCTTGGCTCCTTCAATGACTTAATACCCTTAGGCAAATAAACTCTTGGAGCCTCAGTTTCCTCATTTGTGAATTGGTAATAGTAACTGTGAAGCTTAGGACAATGAAGCAATCAAAACACTCCACAGAATAACTGCCATGTGGGTCAAACAGAGTAAATGTTAACTGTTATTATTTATTACATTTTGATCTGCAAATATGAGACCAGAGAAACTGTGACTATCCAAAGCCATATAATAAGCTAAAAATGCTTAATCTGTTTCATGAGGTAGTTCTAATGTTATTTCAAATTAAATTAAATGTTCATAATTGCTACAAGTTCAACCTTCTGTGAGGCTAGCTGTCTACCCAAGTGCATCAATCCATCTATTCTTCCATGTCCCCATGAGTAATTCACTCAGAAATTTTTTATGCACCTGTTAGTATACAATATTTTTCCAGACAGTATTTCTCAGCCTCTGCATTAAAGACATTTGGGGATCAGTGTTTATTTGTGCGGGTGGCTCTCCTGTGCACTGTAGGCCTTTGGGCAGTATCACCCGAATGCCTCTCAACTACAACAACCAGAATATCTGCAGACACCACCAACTGTCCCCTTGGGTAGGAGGTGGATAGTGCAAAATTGCACCTGTTTGAGGACACTTGGAACAAAATCATGAATAATACATTGTCCATGTCCTGAGAAGCAGACAGTGTGTAGGGGAGGCCAATATATGAACACATAATTACACTGTGTCTAAATAATGACCTTTCATTAAGAACTTACTACTCATCTAGAACTCTAAATCTAGTATTTGATGTCCACCATTATAATTTGCAATGATGATAATGAACAATGAAAAGAATGCTATAAATTAAAAAATTAATATTCAAAAGTAAAGTGACTCTCCCAGCCTGGGATTATTTAAACCCAATATATACATAAGGCTATATAACACTTCCAAAAGGAAAGGTAAGAGAGAGAAGCATTCCCCGTAGAAACTATGGGAGCACAGCCTTGGGCTTTGAGGATTAATGTAGCTGAAGCTGGCAAAGGGGGTTTCTGCTCCCTGGTTCTCCTTTAATGACACCACAAGTCTCTTCTCATTGGTCACTCTTAGTGAACACCCACCACATCCACCCCAACCAAGTCCAGGTGGAACCAGGGTATTATGTTGTTGTTGTTGTCCAACTTCTCTACTCTAAATTAGAAACACAGAACTGATTATACTAAATCATAAATTATCTGTAAAAAAAAAGTAGCTGTCTCTCTCTCTCTGGTCTATAGCAATAATTACTGAAACATATTCACATTTCATTTAATTTGAATGCAAATCCATAAAAAATATATTTTCAAATAGCCGTAGAACTAACTCATGAAACAGATTCCTCATTCTAGTTTACTGTATGGGTTTAAGGTATCATTTAGCTTATCTATGACCCATATTTAAAGATTTCAAGATAATAACAGCTAATTTGAGAATGGGGCAGGTGATTTTTGTGCCAATGTCACACTCAACCCCTGTCACAATGACTGGCAGATAGTGGATGGTCAACCAATATTCAATGTTTTAGATGGATGTGTGCATACATGCATAAATCCATGGATGATGGATGGATGGATGGATAAAATGGCCCTGAAGAGGAAATCAAGGTAAGTACATTTCATGGAGAAATAAGAAGAAATTGCTTCTGTCCAAGCTTCAGTACCTAAGCATAGACTAACCCTTACTCCATAATTCTCTTTATCTGAGCATATATCTGATTAAATAGGAAGAGGGAGAAAGATTCAGCCCTTCTTTCTGCTCTTAGTGTGTAGACCTCCAGCACATGGACAAATTCTTCATGCACAAAAAAAGAATTACTATAAATTATTATAATTAGTCCATGAAGGTCATCACCCCAACAGCTCAGCACATTAACTCAATATTATTATGGGACATCCAGGCATGGAGATGGTGAAGATCTTTTCATGTGCAGCATTGTGAAATGACATCCCAGTCTTTATGATTTGGCCTCATTGAATTTTCAAGAGGATGAGACTTAAGCAATCCAGTCCAAACCTTCACTTCAACTACTAGGAAAATGGAGCCAGAGAGCAAACGCATCTAACTAATCCATGGCTAAAGTGGGTTTTATCCCAGATCTGTTGAGTCGCTATTGACTCCTTTGCTCACTAAGTTTGAAGTAGATTTAGATCTGCTTTTTTTTTTTAACGAATGCAGCATTTGAAATCGAGAGTGATGTACCCAAAATCATAGAAGCAGGGGGATTTGAGTTCATAACGAAATCTTATGGTTAAAATTGTTATTGAGACCAAAATAATTTTTACTAATACATAAAAAAAATCAATGATGAAGACAGAAAAAGTTAAACTCCTGTTGAAGATAAAATAGCAATTTAGGAGTTATTTGATTCTAAAGTAAATTTAACAATAAAATCATGTTCATGTTCCATCTCTACCAAAAAAAAAAAAAATCAAACATAGAAAGATCAGACTATTCTGACCTTGTTCAAAGAAATAAATATCAGAGTGCTCTGGCTGGGACTAGAGTTTCAACTTAACAAGAAAAACCATCTTCAGCTGGAGGCAGGACTGGATGAGGAAGAACGCTGGTCCTACCCACCAAGTAAAGGTCATGTTCACTGTTTGCACCCTGTGCAGCATAAATTGCCAATAGCCACTTTTTTCAAAATTATTAAATCACAATAGTTGATATATTAAAGGCAAAGCTTTAATTCTTCTCCAATTTGCATTACCCAGAATGCTTCTTTGTCAACTTTGCCTTAATTTGTTTGAAAAACAAATCAGAATTCACACATTGATGTACGTACAATATCCAAATAAATGATGTCAAAGCACTACCAAGATAAAAAAAAAAGGGTTGGGGCTGCAGCTCAGTTGTAGAACACTGCCTAGCATGTGTGGGGTACTGGGTTCAATCCTTAGCACCACATAAAAATAAAACAAACCAATAAATAAAATAAAATTTTAAAAAGATAAAAAGATTTACATTCATAAAAGTTCTTGAGAACAGAATCACAGTTAAAAGTAAAACTATATGTCAACAATATATTTTCTCTGACTACAAAAGTACATTGCAGATATCTGATAATTTGGATATTTTGGAAATTTGGGGAAAATATCATGATATGAGAACTATTTATAAAATGGATTTGGCCATACAATTGTGTTTTAGTCTGCTTTTGCAGTGCACTGATCAAAAGACCTAACAAGAACAACGTAGAAGAGAAAAAGTTTATTTTGGCTCATGGTTTTAGGGATTCACTTCATAGATAGCCAACTTCATAGCTCTGGGCTTCATGGTGGACAGGCGTGGTGGGGGAAAGCCGCTCAGAACCTGACAGGCAGAAAGCAGAGAGAGATCTGCTGACCAGGACCAAACATGAACCCCAAAGGCATGGCCTCAGTGGCCTGTTAATCCAGTCACACCCAGTAACTATACTTGCCTAGAGTTACTGCCCAATTAATCCATCAATGGATTAATCCACTGATTAGTTTAAGCCTTTCATACTCTGATCATTTCACCTCTGAGCCTTCTTGAATTGTCTCACATGTGAGCTTTTTGGGGACACTTCATATCTAAACCATAACAAATTGAATAACATCTTTTTTATAATATCAAGTCTTTACAGCTTTAAAATTAAGTGTATTTTGCTTATTTAAACCATGATCACCATGTCTCTGCACTTAATCTGTAGCTGATCTGTAGATACAGCAATTTGGACATAGAGAAAATAATCTTGCACGGTAACTTCAAATTTGTTGAAAACTTTTTCACAGTTATTATGTCCTTCCCAGTTAAATTAATGGGTTTCCCTAAGAGAAAACAGCCATATAGGAGCAGAGCCAAACAGAATTAGGATTCTTGAGTAGCACCCTAAAGGGAAGAAGCATTCTGAGGACCGGGCAACATCATCAGGCTATTAAGGCTTGGACTCTAGCCCTGGCCTTGCCACAGAAGCAAGTTTCGTCACAGCTGCAGGCATCAGTTTTCTCTCCACAAAGGAACTAATGCGAGGTGGCGGCAGTCATAGTTTTCTGGTTATTGTATCATATTAACACTACATACCAGCTCATACTCTAGCCACTGCCCCTGGGGGATACTCAGTCTCCAGAGTCAGGCAGGATGCATGCCATTCTGATCACAGCTCTATCACTCATTAGCTCTATCTCTTGAACAAAATAACTTTTCCATGGCTCAGCTTTCTCATCTGAAATTAAAGTATTAATAATTCTTAGTTCATAGAGTTGTGTGATATTTAAATGAGATAATACAGCAAATAAAACTCTTAATGCTATTCTTGACACATAATAAACGGTTCATAAACATAAGCAAATTTAGCATTCGTTATTTTGTTAAAAAACTAACTGAAATAGAATGGGGCATGAGACTAAATAGATTATAAGAATTATTTGTCCCTATGAGTCTACTCTGGAGAATAATATCATTGTGCTCACTGAACTCTTCAGACAGTGACCAGTACCTGGATTGGAATAATTGAATGACAGGTCATCCATCATCATCAAAATAGTAGTTAATTATTTTTAAATTAGACAGGTCTTAAATGATGTGTAACATACTCAGGAAAACAGACTTGAAATTCTGATGAAAATTTTCTGTTTTCATTTTCAGTGTATCAGTGATTTTTTTTAGAGGATTTTTTTAGTTAGTAATGCTAACTAACTAAAAGGTTGACTAAAAAGACAAAGTTGGTGTGCTGGGACCATGTAGATAATGATGTTCATGACTCTTTAGAGAACTATTAATTCAACTATAAACTCTCTTTGAAGGTCTGAGAGGTAAGACGGGACCCCTGGGTCTTGCTGGCGAAAAAGGGGACCAAGGAGAGACTGGGAAGAAAGGACCCATGGGACCAGAGGGAGAGAAAGGAGAAGTAGGTCCAGTTGGGCCTCCTGGACCAAAGGGAGACCGAGGAGACCAAGGGGACCCAGGGCTCCCTGGAGTGTGCAGATGTGGCAGCCTCGTGCTCAAATCCGCCTTTTCTGTTGGCATCACCACCAGCTACCCTGAAGAAAGAATACCTATTATATTTAACAAGGTGCTCTTCAATGAGGGTGAGCACTACAACCCTGCGACAGGAAAGTTCATCTGCGCTTTCCCAGGAATCTACTACTTTTCTTATGATATCACTTTGGCCAATAAGCACCTGGCAATCGGGCTGGTGCACAATGGGCAATTCCGGATAAAGACCTTCGATGCCAACACAGGGAACCATGACGTGGCTTCAGGGTCCACCGTCATCTACCTGCAGCCAGAAGATGAAGTCTGGCTGGAGATCTTCTTCACAGACCAGAATGGCCTCTTCTCAGACCCAGGCTGGGCAGACAGCTTATTCTCTGGATTTCTCCTGTACGTTGACACGGATTACCTGGATTCCATATCAGAAGATGACGAACTGTGACCCCGACTGCAGACCTGAAAGTTTCCAGGTCACCACGGCTGATGCTTCAATCTCATCTGGGTTACTGGAAGGTGGAAGGAGCAGGAAAGAGTTCCAAAGAACTCCTACTCAGATTCCAGAGCATCTGCAGACAGTTCTGGAGGAATTTATCAAAACAAGATAAACCACCACGCAGCTAAAACCACACCAACATGAGCTGTCCACAATAACTCCAGATATGGATTCTCTTGAAAGTCATGTCTATGGGGCTGGGGATATAGCTCAGTTGGTAGAGTGCTTGCCTTGCATGCACAAGGCCCTGGATTCAGTCCCCAGCGTCACCAAAAAAAAAAAAAAAAAAAGTAATGTTCATAAATATTTAAACAAATTAAAGACAATATTGACAAAACTTTTATTAAATGTCCATTGTGATAAAGTCAGCTGGATGATATTGTCTCATTAAATATTCATAAAATTACAGTTTTGTCTGTTATTTAAGAGAAACATAACATCCCAGACAGGGTGTGAGAGTTCTCAAAAGCTATAATAGGTCATACAACAAAGGTAAGAGACGCTGAGCATTTTCAAGCAAACTAAAGTGATAAATTTCTTTTGTTTTATTGTTTAGTTCTTTGTGTTGGTGTACATTCACACAACAGCTCCTTGGTGAGCCCCTGTGTGTGGACCAGACACCATGGCGCCAAGTCAGGTGGAATACAGCCTGACCTCCATAGAGGCTAGATAGAGTGCAGGGAGCACACTTGTCACAACTCTGTTTTGGGCACTGTGGAAAATAGATGGGTTCAATGCTAGAGCTACACAAGACTGCTTTTCCCAGGATTGGGGACCAGAGGAGATTTTACATGTGGGAAGAGAGTGGGCATACCAAGGTGTATTTAAGTGGGTGAAATGGATGCAGAGAAAATGAGGACGTCAGCACCACTTACTCCCTGTTCCCTCAAAACATGGTATTTTCAACTGGGAAGGAGTGAAAATCCTAGAGAGGGAATAGAGGCCTGGGAGGGGTAATGGAAATGAAGATGGAAATGGAGAGAAACAGCCAGTAGGTCATTCTCCCAAACCTTTCAACATGATGGTCTCCTAAATCAAACTTCTAACCTGATAGCATTCTCACAAATAAGGCCACTGCTTTATATCACTCTAGCACGTGATTTCTTGTGGATTTCCTAAATCCTGAATTCCAAGGAGGCAAAGCATGTGTCCACTGATCCATGAGTGCTAGCTGATCCACAAGTGAGCCAATCAGAGAATGAACAGGAGGAGGCAGGAGAGAGATCAAACAGATAAATAGCTGTCTCCTCCAAGCCCCCAGGTCCCACTTCTTATTGCCCTTTGAACTGCAATCTGTCAGTTAGTCTGTGGCTCTGTCTCATCTCCCACTCCCTTGGTTTATAGTAATCATATTCCCTTAGGCTTTTCTTTCAGTATCTTCTACTGCTCCTTCTATTTATTCCCCTCTTTGCTTGTTAATTTAATAAGTTTTTTAGTGCCTACAAATGTGTGAATCATGTCACCTCCTTTGTGAAGACAGAGGAACACCAAGATGAAAATGGCACAGCCCCTGCCATCAAATTTCTAAGGATACAGCAATGTATACATAAACTTACCTACAATTCTGGAAAAGAACAAACTAAAATATGCTAAGTGTCGGGCTTGGGGTAGAGACAAATTGCTGTAAAAGAAGACCAAATATTTGCTTCCAAACTGTGAGGTGATAGAGAAGACCAAGGAAATCTCTGCCCACTGGGCCTTAGGTGATGACAGGACTTGGAGTGACCCAAGTGAGAGGAAGGACACACAGGCAGGAATAGCAATGCAGACAAAGCAGCAAGTGAGAGCAGAGACCCAGGACAGATATTGAGGGACCATATTTGTAAGAGCCCCAAAGGCCAGCCTGAGGGGTGGGGACTTCACGGGAGGGTGAAGGTCTGCATGCTCCAGAACTGAGAGCTGCCATTATCAGGGGTGAAACTTGTAATGACTGATGGGTTGATCTGGGCGCAATGCTTGACTCTCCTGGTTTTCAGACCTCCCTGGCCTCCATACTCTGTCCCCTTGTTGCTCTCCTGAGTCAGGCAATGGGCCCAGTTGTCCAAGAGCAATGAGGGTTAGACCAAGAAGAGAGAGCCAAAGTGGTGTGAGATGATCATCTGCCTACGCATTACAGCTAAAGCCACATTCCCGGATATAGAGCACAAACAACCGAATCTATCTAATCTTAGAAAATTTAGGCCATTTCAGGACAACAGAATTTTCTGGAGAAAGTGGAAATGGAGATGTCATGCAGACAGTCATGACCCGCAAGATTGTTGTGTAAATTTTTTTCTGAGCATGATCTATAAATGCATTTATTTTTGGACATTGTTTACTTATCTTGTAAATGCTTTTCATTTCAAAGCCTATTTTGAGTAGCATTTTAAACAAAGTTTCTCTTATTCGTCTTAGGCCCTGAGATAAACTTTATCTTGAGATATCTGGTGGGGTGGTGATGGGGATCAGAGAGCTGACATGGGAAAGGAAAGGCGGTTTTGGTATTGAAAGAATAAAATCTTAAGCAAATAAATGCCAGTGTCTTTTGTTTCTTAAAAAAAAAAAAAGCAGGTACAATTTTTCCACATTTATGGATATTTGTGTAAGGAAAATGGAAGCGTGATTTTTTTTAAGAAAAATCTAAGTTTCATTCCAATCATTCTTTGTAAGGGCTAACTTGTATTGAATATTAATAAGGCATTATGAATTGACTACATACTATCTTGTTCTGGAAAGACTTACAGCATCTTAGAAAAGTAAAATACAGACAGAAAACATTCAGGATAAAAGAAAAGAGCAAAACAAATGAAAAGGCAGAGGGGCAAGGCGAAGACCACAGTGTGAGTCAAAAACGTGCAGGTACCTGGGCACCAGGTTCCTAGCTCACATTCTGCACAAGGATGTACCCAGGTCACTCATCACTGCGAATAATGTTGCTTATGGTGAAAAATAGATGTCATGAACTCTGAATATACCTTTTCTGTAACACTCTGGGAAAAAAGATGATGAACATAAATAAATTTTAGATATTAGCTATTTTTTGTCCTATAATGTCCCCTCTCTCCTTCTGTAGCTCCACTTTGCTTAAATGGCATCACTATCCAAGGCCACAAGCCTAAATGCATTCTAGATGTCTTCTTTTCCCTCCCCACTGAATTTTGTTCAGCACCAAATTCTTACGGTTCTAGACCCTAAATGTATACTTCTGAGTCACTGAAACTTTCGTTCTGGATGCCAAGTCTCATCCATATGTTCATCATATGGATCATCGCTTCCCTTGGTTAGTAGAAACCTTTGCAACCAACCCCTTACCTCCAGCCACAACCCTCCAACTCATCCCCCACGCCTAGTTTAATATATTCTTCTAAAATGGAAATACAGTCACGTCACTCCACAGCATAAAAACCAGCAATGGTCCTCCCAAACTCTAAATATAAAATGTGTCTTACACTTCTGGGTGTTTCTAGCAGGCACGCATTCCATATTCTTTTCCTGCCATCTATACCCAACTTCCTTCTGAAGGAATATCCTCCTTCATATGCTTAGTCTATGAGCTTCTTGGCCTGATCAATTGAAGAATAGCATTCCCTCACCAAAATAATTGGTCCAGGTGACTCAATTAAAGCCAGTGGGACTTTGCTGGAACTTCTTTGGAGAGAATCTCTTTTTTCCATTGGACTTCAGCTTCTGAACCTCCAGCTGGCATCTTACATCACAAAGCTAATACCACCTGAGAATGAATTCATCCACAAATGAAGATGGAGATAAAAGAGAAAGAGTGAGTCTTGGAGTTACTGTTTCAACCTTGAACTAGATATGCCTATGGTGGTATTTTTCCTTGTACTTTTTCATAATGATAACTTCTAAATGCCATTTTAACTTAAATCTTCTGTGTAAAATTGGTCATTTGCAAAAGATGTAATCCTACCTGCTACTAATAATAGTGCCTTTGGGGATCTAGCCTATGCTTACTTTCATGGTAAGCAGAAGTCACCCACATATAATATATAGTCTAAGAAAATGCAGACGACTGCAGTTCAAGAGTGGCTGGCCAGGGCATACCTCAGAACCTTTACACACTATGTTTCCTTTGCTCGTAGGCCACTGCTGTTCTTATCCGCTTAGCTAGTTTATCTTTCAAGGTCCAGCTCAAAAATTACTTCCTTTCCTCTACTCATTCCCTTCCCTATGCAGGAGGGGACCAATAGGTAACCTCCTGTGTCTCCTCTACCATCTGAGAAGTGGCATCTAGTCACAGTAGCACCTGTTACATGCCTTACCAAGCACCTGTTACATGCATGACCTCACTTGGACCTTGCTATGGTCTGCACATTTCTGTCTCCTCCAAATCCATATGTTGGAATTTAATCACTTAGTGTGATAATAACAAGAAATGGGATTTGGGAAGATGATTAGATCAAGAGGGTTCTGCCTTCATGAATGGGATTAGTGACCTTATAGGAGAGGCCCCAGAACACTGCCCTGTCCCTGCCAACTCAGGAGAATAGAGTGATAAGAAGACCACCATTTGTACACCAGGATGTGGGCCCTCCTTCAGACCCTGAATCTGCCAGCAATTTGATCTTGGACTTCACAGCCTCCATAATTGAAAGAAAGAAATTTCTGTTGTTCATATCTGCACAGTTTTTAGTATTTTGTTACAGCCGCCCAAATGGACAGAAAATCCTCACAGTGATCATTCTACCCGTTTTACAGATGGAGAAACAGAGGGAGAGAGAAGTGAGGAAATGTGTGAAATCAATAGTGTTGCGGTAGGCCCAAGCCATCTGGCACTAGAGCCCATGCTCTTACCCACTGTGCTGGGCCTGTACCCTTCTCACATTGCTCAGGCCTGTTTACATTTGTCTATCTGGTGCAGATTTTTTTCCTATTCATCTTTATGTCCAAGGACTCTACATGGTAACTGCCATAGAATGTGCTCAATGAAAGTGTGATGAGTTAATGGATGACCAGTCCTTTCAGCCACAACTTTCACGTGTGCATAGAGAATGGGACATAGAGAGGAGGGGGAATCCCAGGAAAAGCCCAGTAACATCCTGTGCTTTAACCCACATTCTTTAGATCATAGCTGCCAGAATCCGACTCACACCAACTCAAGAAAAGGGAAGTGAAATAACAGACAATTCTGGAGGCAGATCTGGGTACTTGATCCATGGTGCCATGATTTCATCTTTCCCTGCATCAAAAGTCAGCTCCCCTCAGGGTTGGCTTCAGTTTTGGCAGGTTCTTGCCTGTGGCAGAGATGGCCACCACCAGCTCCAGGTTTGCATTCTGCCGTCTCAGCAAGAAAAAGAAAAGTCCTTTTCCCAATAGCTCACAAAAGACCCCGTCTGACAGCCTTCTGGCTCTTATGGGTCCTGCTGAATCATGAATCAGTGCCTGGCCAAGGGGATGTTCTGGGCCCATTGGCCCGGGCTGCATGGCACCTCCCTGAACTAGAAACAGTATCTCTTCTATCAGAGTCCCATGGAGTCAAGTGGGGAAGAGATTATATCCCAAAAGAAAATAAAGGGGCCAGTCCTAGAAAAAAAGAAGCACTGTTTAATTGGCAGTCAAAAGCACAAACAACACCTCCCTAAAGTGTTTCCATTTAAAATCAAAACCACATTTATTTTATCTGCATGATGCAAAGTAAATGTGTTGATAGAATCACTTTTCTCTGAGATAACCTAATTTTTTGACAATACTTGGTCACAACTAAGTATTTCTCACTATATTAGCCTGTCATCTGTGATGATCTTATCCCACTGGCTGTCATTTCACCAACAGACACTTTTAATGAAAGAATATATTATTCTCAACTGAAACACTTCTCCTTTCCCTAAGACCCCCTGACTTTTGCATCAGAACTCTAGAAGGTGCAACAATATATGCAATTGTCTTTGATAATTATAAAAAGGGAGCATGCTTTGAGATAAGTCTCTTTATGGAATCAAAAAAAAAAAAAGGCCAGTAAATCCAATTCATTCCTCAGACAACATAACAAGAGCTCCAAAAAGCCACTCTAAGTCACAAACTACATTGCTGTCCAGACTTCTTTCTTGTTTTGTTGAGAAATCACAAATCAGTGTCTAATGACACAGTGGCTCCGATTTACCATGTGCCTCCTTCGTAAATGGTGCCATGCTGGATCCTCATAGCATGTACCTCATTTTATTCTCAGAAAGAGCACATGTTAACTTTTTTACATATTTTGTTGGTGCATTATAGTTGTACATAATGGTGAGATCTATTGTTGTATGTTTGTACTCACAATACAGCAACGTAATTTGGCCAATATCATTCCCCAGTATTGCCCCTTTCTGTCCTTCCTTCCTCCTGCTGGTCCCTTTGAGTACAATCCTTTCATTCAATTCTCCATCTGAAATCCTTTTGAGTGAGACCTACGGTTTCCTGCCTGGTCCCTGAGTAGTGCATTCTCATGACAGCCGAACCCAAGAGACCTGGAGTAGGTGGCCTCAAGAGACTGACTCCCTCTGTTTTCATGCTTAAGAAATACCCCAGCACTGGGGCCCCCTACATTTCCATACCAAGGCCCCTCATTTTATAGGGCAGGGATTAGGGAGAGGGAGGAATGAAAGGACTGTATTCAGAGGTACAGGCTGGGTTAAAAGAACCAAGAAGGGATGTCAAGGTATCAAAGCATTGGCAACAGCAGGGACCCAGCACCATCCCAAAGCCTGGAGGGACAAGGAGGCACTGGTGGCGGCTGAGTGTGGTAGAGCCTGAGACTTGGGACAGGGACCATCCTACAGAAGCTGTGCCTGGAGAGGAGCCCCGGCCAGGACCACATTCAAGGAAGGAGGAAGCCAGGGCAACAAGTCCCCTGGCCATGCTCCCCTGCACCCTCTGTCTCCTACTTGTATCCCTCCCTGGTCAAATCCATCAACGCAGGAGTCGTGCAGTCTGGGTGACGCAGTGTAGAGATGGGCTGCCAGGGCAAAGAACAGAACAGAGAAAATAGATGGGAGCCACGGGAGTAGGAGGAAGTGAATGGAAATTAACTCTACAGAGCCCAGGCCTTTAGAGGCCTTCCTACTCTAAAGTCTAAAATCCCATGCAGCTGGCACAACAGAACGGGCAACCTGTCTTGAGAAGCGCAGAAGGGACACCTTTCCGAATGGCTTAAGGCTGCCTGTAACTAATGCAGAAGGAGCCGTCAGGTCTCAGAAGTGGTCCAGCTCCACTTACAAGAAAATTGCGTGGTGGTGTGGGGCCAAGGCCTTGCAGTCATGAACAGAGAGTTTTGCCAGAGCATCCCCCCTGGAAACCCCCCTCCTGAACTTGAAACAGCATCAGCAACCAGTGGAGCATTCGGGGGTTCAAATTTCTAGGCAAATAGCTTTCCCGTTCATCATGAATTAAATTATCTTCTTACCCTTTCAGAGATTAGACATGAGAATACTGAGATTTAGAGCAGTTGGGCGGTTTCCCCATTTTCAAACTTTAGTAAATGTGGGTTCTAACTCCTGCCCACCTGCCTCCAATGTCATGCCCCGCCATGAGCCTGGACCCCAGGACTCCCCACCCAAGATGCTGCCTTAAGGCAGCTTCACCAGGAGATCATGCACTAGGGGGGGAGTCACTCCACCCTGGATCCTCTCCTTTGCCCTAGGAGGCTTTGATTTTCTCTGCTTCAGCAGGAGCCAAGGATGTCACCATGAGGCTCGTTCTTTCTTTATGGAAATAGTGTGACTGACCACACAGCTCTGCAAACTCTACAGAGCCCAAAATCTATCTGCCCCTGTGGTTCTGTGCAAAGAACAAAGACTGGTCCCAGGGGTCCACTCCAGATCCTCTGTGTCACAGAGAACCTGGGCAAAATGTTAGCATTTTGTTAGTCCCTATGTCACTTTGCTCAGAAAAATCCAGGTGAGCTGGATTGTTCACGGGGCGGTGTCCTTCTGCCAGCACACACCTCTTCTCAGGATGAATCCTAACAGAACCACCTCTCCACAAGCCTCCTATGTCCCCAATGTGGGTTTTCAATCAAACCCAAGATATGACAAACGTGTTGGGTAACTAAAGAATCCTTCAAAAATGAAAATTTACAAAACTTGAATGCCATGCTGTAGCTTTCGAGAGACATGCGGAAACGTGTGACTCTCAACCACAGCCACACTTTGGGCCAGGTCCCTCTTCATTGTGAAGGACTGCCTGTCCACCAGAGGACACATAGCAGCATCCCTGGCCTCTATCCATTAGGTGACAGCAGCACCTGTCCTCCAT